CAAAACATATACATCGTCATATTATTTTATATGTGCTGCAGCTCATATAAAATAATATGACGATCTATATGTTTTGTAAGAAAAGTCAGTTTTCGCTTCTAAGCTAGCACTTGTATTTTACAATGCAAGTAATATTTCTTCATTATAATAAAAAATTTTATTATTTCATATTTTTATATAATCTATATTTTTTCCCTTTTACACCAAAAACCTTTGAAGTATCTTATTTTGAAAATGGCGTTTTGAGACTATCGATGTGATCAGACTCGAAATTTAATTGGTTGACGTGACCGATTTACAAATTGTGATAATGTCAGAAAATTTTTAGGGTAATGATTTAATTAAGGGATCTGCAGGCACAGCACATATAAAAATTATATAACGATCTATATGTTTTGTAAGAAAAGATAGTTTTCGCTTCTAAGCTAACACTGGTATTTTACAACATAACTGACAATCTTTATGATAATAAAAAAATTTTTATTATTTCATATTTTTAATCTATTTATATATTTTTTCTATTACGCTGAAAGCCTTTGAAGTATATTATTTTGAAAATAGCATTTTGACGAAATTACACTTGAAATTTGATTGGCTGATGCGACATGTGACTGACTTACAAATGTTAGATCAACTCACCATACTCACCACAATCCTCGCTCATCCAAAATTCATTATAGTATTCCTAAGAAAGCAAACTTATGGACTCATGGGTCTGTGTGAGCATGTGAACACAACTCTAACTAGGGTTGCGGCCCAAACCATATTTTTGAATTAGGGTTTGAGAATTGGGATTTGAGTGACGACAAATGAAAACCAAAATTCTTATAACATTTACAGGCTTTTACTTGGCGTTACTCATTTCTATTTGATTTGGGTTCTTTATTAAAACCCAAATATGTTTCCCGTTTTCAATTACTAGTATCAAACTCAAGAACCAAGAAAAAACATGTTGAAAAGGACTAACGCAAGGATGATCACAAATCTGCTATATCCTCTAAGACTGTGTCAAGTCGGATATTGTTATCAGAATAGAATTGAGATCAATAAGTATAAACGCAAAGCAATTGAATATTTTCAAAAGACACTTCTAATATCAGGGATTCTTATGGAATATTTGTACTTGATAACTGTTATATCAATAGAATCGAAGTTGAAAAGATGTGAAAAAGGCATTCAAGTATTATCAAAGTCCAACAAAGATGTGAAATATTAATTGGACATACAATGTTGAATATTGTTATCAAGAATGAACTGGAGTCGAAAAGGATAAGAACAAAGCATTCGAGTATTATTAAAAATTAATAGAGATACGATAGGGATGCTAATGGATTATTAAATGTCATTCAAATGGAGTTGAGTTATAGAATGAGTAGGATGCATTTGAATTTTTTTTAAAAAGCAACTGATAGGGTGATGCCAACGGAACATATAATCTTGATGATTGTTATTCATTGCAAAATTGAAATAGAGAAAGACAAGTGCAAGGCGTTTGAATGTTATTGAAAAGCTGCTGATATGGCCTTAATGAAGGAATAGATAATATTGGTTATTGTTATGAAAAAGAAACTGGAGTTGACAAAGATAATAGAAAAGTGTTCGAATATTATCAGAAGGCTGCCGACATGGGATACGATCTTGAAAATATTAATGTTGGCTATGGTTATCATTATGAAAATAGAAATTGTATCTTGAAGAATGAATGTAAGGTCTCTAAAAATGATCAAATGACTACAAATACAGGTTTAGCTTGAGAACTAACGCTAACGCTAAATAATTTTGTATTATCATTATCAACATGAAATCTGGGTTGAAAAAACAAACATAATTCCAAACTAGTAAGTTTGGGTTCAACTCTAACTCTAACCAACAATAGCATTAATATTAGATGATTATTTGTTATTATCAGTTTCGTATTTGTAATCAATTGATATAATTATGATTGTTCTTCGAAGTAGAAGATAATCAAAATAGTGGTATAAAAGAAAATAAAGGATTAGTAAATTGATTGGTTTTTTTTCAACTGATCAAAGCATGTTAGTGCAACAAAAGGGCGCTTAGATTAAGGGAAGATAACACTAATAGGATATTAAAGTCAAAAGTATGCCAACTGGCATTCCTAATAGAAAGGATTAAAAAAAAAAATTTCGTCAGAAGTACAATGCAAACAAAGCAAGAAATAAACCGATATTTGAAAATGCTGCATGATATATAAGAAGCTAGATCCAATTTGGTTTAGGATCATTCAAAGTACAAAGACATTCTTAATTTACTTACAATATCGATATTAAATGTTAACATTAACATACCGATACAAAGGTTTCTGCTAAGTTTGTATATATTGATATGCATGTATCTGTCAAATAATTTGATGTAGTGGTAGCCTCCCTATACATATCAATATATCAAGTCTCTCACGCTGATTCTTTAGTAATCTGATCCTATACCGATATTTGTGTTTTGAGGTATTTTTTTTTTTTACTCTTGAGCCAAATGTTTCAACATTGATACTCTAAAAATCTTATAAATATAATTCGTTAAGTCTTTTCTGCTATTCATATGCTTTATATTCTCAAAACTTATACCCAGACACTATCTTATATAGCATAATGACAACTTCTATACCAGAATCGCCAACAAATGAGGGTCTAAATTTGAAAAGTGCGCTCCTTTTTAATGAATTCATTAATAACAGTGAGGTTGGGTACAAAAGTATAGACGATGATGATATACTTGGTGATGAAACTACAAGTTACATATCTGGAAGTTATGATGGAAGCAATAATTGTGATTTCGATAATATTGATACATTTACTTTGGATAAGATGAGCTTCGAAAAAGCCAGAATTTTTGCTGAAAACGAAGAAATTTGTTATGATACATTTTGGGAAAATGATGAATTTGAAGTAGATTCGATATTTTCTACAGAGTTAGAATCAACATCGACTTTATCATATGATGAAAGTATAGCATTGGAAAATGCTGATAGCAGTAACACACATCTATCGCCTTGTGTTATTTTAGATTTCATTAATGGTCAATTTAAGCAATGCTGCGATATAGCACTAAACCAACGTCCCCTTAAACAACTTATCAGTACATGGGAAATAGATAAGAACACATTTGAAAAAGCCAAAAGTAGCAATTAACTGCATAGCTTGGAAGTTTGTTCATCTCATTTTTCCTATGATGCTGTCAAGCTTCACTTACCACGTCTCAAACAAGAACATTCAATTGAAAAAAGCTGGGTTCATATCAAGCGCTGTCTTTTTTGCAACAAATTTAGAACTTTTTTTAGTCGTGGAAAAAATTGTATACAACATACAGTATGCGTAGTTGGCAGAAATGTGCAAGTACCCTGCTCTGGTCTTAAAGTTTGTCCTGTTTTTGAAGAGGAAAATATTTTAAATACGATTCTTAAAAAGTCAGATAATGAGAATCGAACTCGATATATATGTTCACAATGTTTTAATAAACATGGTGGTTATTTTTATGAACATATAGGACAAGGAAAAAATTATAGTTTTACTTGTGAAGTAAATCATACAAACGATATTACTGTGGCACTTCAAATATTTGGAAACTGGATTTTACAAACTGCTATTACAGATAATAATGATAAAAAAAAGGATTTATTAGCATGGTTATCAACAATACTTGTAATGTTTAACAAAGAAACACAATCGCAATGTTCTATAAAGCCCATAAATCCCTTTCTTCTCAAAACAATATTTAAAATTGGGCATGTAGATTTTTTTACACATTCTAATGAATGTTTCGAATTTACTCCAGAAGCTTCAGAAAAAATTGGTGAACAATTAGGAATTGAAATTTGGAAGTCTCGATCTTTTATACGCCAAAATAAATCAAAACTTGAATCACCATCATCATTAGAAGAATATTGTAGTGGATTTCCCCCTTTTTTGATATCTTTTTTTACATCGTTGATTATTACTCTGTATATGAAAAAACACAAGGCTAATAACTACATAAAAGCAAGTCGTAATTTACCAATTCTTGATTTTGACAAATTACACGCTATAAAAATTTCAATTTTTCTTATTTCTATGATTATAAATATCACTTCGCCTTCTACAAATTTGTGGCTTCATTATATTTTAAGTTCATTAATTCGTAAACCCAAGATGATATCTTCTTTGTACGCAATTCTTTATTCAGCAGGAATTATTTCTCATAGTCAACGTTATGAACGTCAATTAGAAAAAATTCGTTTAATGGATCAAAACCAGAAAATAGATTAATTAGAGAAAAAAATGTGTGGAATATCTGTGTTATAGATAATATTGATTTTGCTGAAAAATTATTTTCATATGGAAATATATATGATAGTTCTCGAGTTACATTTCACGCAACCATAAGAATGGTCTTTCAATTTAGTCTTCCAATCCCGATTCAAACTATTATTGCTCAAGATTCTATTAACAATCATGATAACAATAACGATAATTTAATGCAGCCCTTATTTGGCGAGTCTTTATTTACTAAAAATTTATTGGATCTTTATGAAGATATTTTTATTCAACTTTTACAAACCAAATTAAATGATTGGGACATTGACGATATATTTAATGAAATTAGAAAAAATGTATCGCTTGGATGTCAAATACCACCCCCTAACGTAGTTATATTAAAACCTGGAGAAAATCCTAACTGTGATGCAAATGTGCATCAAGCCTGTGCGATGTACTTTGATGATGTCAGATTAGACAATACGAACAATATTGATATTGTTTGTGACGAGGCTTTATTTAAACGCTTAATATCTTATAAAGAAAATAATCCACAGATTAGATTATTGTTAGGACAATAGCACACTTCGAAGAATATGTGCAGTGTACTAACTACACTTTTTTCTGGATATGGTATTTTTGGCTTAGCTGCTCGATTGGGAGTACTTCATCTTGATAAATTAGAAAAGGTAGTTGATTACTCTGCAACTTGTAGGGTGCTAGAACTAATTTGGGTTGCAGTTGGGTGTGCACTTGTTCAATATACCTGTAAACAAGTAAAGTCATTACAAGATATTATGCATGGAACAAATAAAATTGCAAAAGTATGGTATTGTTATTTTTGTTGGGAAGCGTATTGGTTAAGTCATAAGATCGGGATTAGGAAGGGTAATTTTAATATGCAATTTAGAAATCTTGCTGCCTTTTCACCGCTTTTTCCTGTAACAGGAAAACATAATTATACTCGATCTGTTACCTTTTTTTTGTCCTATGTTGAGGAAGATATTAGTTTTCAAAAACTTCTTCAATACGTGTGTTCAGTTAATCTTACACGTGAAGATCATTTTTTTGGATTTGATGAAGCATTAGAAAGATTTGGTGTCCAATTCATCAAGCAAAACATTAGTGGCAAGCGATTAACAAATGAAGAGTTAAAGTTACAAATGTCTTCCATACAAGGAGAAAGAGAACGATTAGAGTTGCTAATATCTGAATATGTTAGTGATAAGCTTTATATTAAAGAAGAAAGAACGATAAAATCCCGGAAAGAAGCTCTTTGGAAGCTTATATCTGATTTAGTAAATGTGTTTTCTCAACCTGATTCATCACATGAACTTTTTCTTAATGCTCCAGAACTTTATGAAACAGGGTTTTAACGGTTATTTTCATGCTATGAAGAAGGTATTGATCGGCTTTATAAAATTTTAAAACAAGATGTTCGCAAAACTGAAATTCAAAATGTAAAAGGTCGCTGAGCACGTAATGTTACAACTTATAAATGGCAAAATTTGCAAGAAATAGACAAATTTAAAATTAAAAAAATCAAAAAACAAGTATCTCAACCAAATACTGTTGATATAAAAAAACCACGTCATAAACGTCAAACTACTGAAAAAGAAAAAAAAATACTCGAACCTATTCTTTCTGACAAGGTTTTTCCTAACAATAAACTTTCTGAAATCCTTTCACAACTTGGTGCTGAATCTGATGAATGGACAGAATCACACGTAAAAACTTATTGGAGAAATAATCGAATTAATAAATAGAAAATATTGGTAATAGTATATTTTTTGCTACTTATACAGAGTAGCATTAAATTCAATATATTAATTTTTGAGATACAATATAAATGTTCTCAAAAACTATTCAATATGTTGCATTTTTTAACTTGAAACTGGTTTACTAAATTATAAATTACGATTTCAATTTTATTTATAAAATAATATAGATCCTGCACTACAATATGAAATAATGATTATGATCTCCCGGACTAGAATTAATACAAAGCGAAAGATTATGAGTGTTAGATTTAAACCTTAAAACCAGTTTAGATTTTTAAATATATTTTAACAATTTAAACTATATTTATAGAATTATTAAACATTAAATATAGGGTTATTAACATTGGATATTCTTATAAATATATATTATAAATATTATAAATATCGTTATAAGTAAATAAAATTTAGTAAATATCAACCAAATTTCGAATTTGACTTCATCGATAGTCTCAGAATACTATTTCAAAATAAGATACTTCAAAGGTTTTCAGCGTAATAGAAAAAAAATATAAGTAGATTAAAAATATGAAATAATAAAAATTTTTTTTATTATCATAAAATTGTTAGTTATGTTGTAAAATATCAGTATTAGCTTAGAAGCGAAAATTATTTTGTTTTACAAAACATATAGATCGTTATATAATTTTATATGTGCTGTGCCTGCAGATCCCTTAATTAAATCATTACCCTAAAAATTTTCTGACATTATCACGCAATTTGTAAATCGGTCAGTCAACCAATCACATTTCAAGTTTGATCACATTGATAGTCTCAAAACGCCATTTTCAAAATAAGATACTTCAAAGGTTTTTGGTGTAAGAGGGAAAAACTATAGATTATATAAAAATATGAAATAAAAAATGTTTTATTATAATGAATAAATATTACTTGTATTGTAAAATACAAGTGCTAGCTTAGAAGTGAAAACTGACTTTTCTTACAAAACATATAGATCGTTATATTATTTTATATGTGCTGCAGCTTGTAGATCCCTTAATTAAATCATTACCCTGAAAATTTTCTGACATTACACTTGACTGCTATACCAAATAAAGCAACCAATCAATGTAAGACAAGTTCGCAATAATCACAAATTTTACTAATCAGATTGGTACAAAATTTGAAGATCACTTTCGAGAATATCACCAAAATCACAAAATCCGTCCATATGATTTACTATAAAATTGATTTGATTGGTTGATGACCCCGGATTGTCGATTTAATTGAACTAAAAGTAAAAACCTGCTTATTTCTTATCTCTCTCAATAATAAAATGATATATGTATGTATGTCTTTATATAACCTCGATAGTAGTCATGAAAAGCATTATTTGTAAAATCATTGCAATCATATTTTCTCTAAAATTTTGCAAATAGCAACAACGCAAACAAATAACTGAAGACAAAATTTTTAAAGCGCAAATATGAGTTTAAGAAACCAATTTTATTTCATCATAAATCCAATTTCGAGACTCGAAGTGAATTGCTTATTATTATCACCGAAAATAATAATAAACGGATTAAAATCTCAGTAAATATTTATAAACCTATCTTATATAATTGCTTTGTATTTTCATAATTGCTTACAACTTTGAAAATTGTATCATCATTATTTTTGTTATATTCTTTTACTTCATCAACCAGGCATTTATGCTTCAAAAGCAAGCAATGATTCAATGTTTCAGCGTTGAATCCTAATAAAAAATAACTATTTAAAGTTTATAATTAACTTAAAAAAACACAAGTATTAAATACGTTACCTTGTTGGAAGTTATAATTTGGATTTGAGATTTTATTTTGAATCTCAGTGCTGCCATTAATCGCTTTACTAGCAACTTTGTAACTTTCAATTTTATTTTCCAAACGTTTGATTTCTTTGACCAAATTTTGATTATTTTCTTTAAATGCTAAACATCATTTATTAGTTCAAGTAATTTTTTATTTTGCTTAATGTCAGTTAAAAGTGAAACGTATTCTTACTTTGGTTTAGAACCAATTTTTGATCAGAAAACATTATAACTAAAAATTTCAGGCTGATAAATTTCTGGTAAACGAGTTAAATCCTAACGTTAAATTCATGAACTTTTATAAACTATAACATGCGAATAGAATTCTTCCACATGTTATTTATTCTAATTAAATTCTATGCGCATTTTTTCTGAAGAAGTTATTACCTAGATATTTGGAGAAGATTCCTTCTTGCTGCACAAAGAGAAGGGTTATTGAATGATGTAAATTTATCAGATTTTTGTTTGTGATAACATGTACAGAACTCATTACTATATATTGAACAGTTTAAAATAATTAATATAAAAAGATTAAATAAAAACATTTTAGTCTATGCGCCTATATAGTACAATTACCATATATTTATTAGTACATTCTTAAAAACAAAAGCATACAGTACCATGAATACATATGTGTTATGCTATTAATAACATTTTAAAATAAATGCATTTATTGCAATAGCTACAATTACCTATTTATTATCGATATATTAACTATATGGTCTATATACAGTTTGGACGAACAGGTTTAAAATATGCAATAGATTTAATCAAAAATTTTCTATTTCTATTGTAACTTTTTAAAAACAAGCTTCTTATTACTACTAGTACAGTAAATCTGTACATTGTGAAAGGCTCGGGTTGCACTCAGATTATTTTTTTTATTTATATTATTCTATTTTATTCCTATTCTTTTCTTTTGGTTTGTTCTACTCTTAGTAAGGTTTTACATAAATTATATTAGCCGTTAGTATAGTAAAC